TGGTAGTACTAAGAATTCTTTCAAGACTAAGTGGTATCAGCATACCTTGTCCTTCACCAGCAGTACTTGCAGAAATAATTCCTTACTTTCTAAATATTTTTGCTGTTTAAAAGATGATAATAAAACCCCTAAGGTGAAATGGAAAATTTCAAAAACAGCAAGGACATGTAGATCTTTATATGAATCCAATTATTTATGCTTACATGAAGAGTTGGGAATTATCCAATTTAAAAAAAACAAAACAAAAAAAAAAAACAAAACAAAACAAACTCTTTTTCAATCAAAGGAATGAATTAATAGTAAATTGCAAACATAGTTAACCTTTTACCTTACAATTTAGTTAACGTTTGGAATTTGATTAGGATTTTTCTTATATTTATATTTTAGTTGTACTGCATTGCAACATATATAGCTTAACTTTTTATTTGTAAGATTATTGCGGATTTTATATAATTCTGTATTAATCTCCTGGTAGTATTAATAATATCTTTTACGGATATATTGATATTTGGTTGGTATTTTTGACATTTTAACTTGATCGGTTATTGTTATTAATAACTTCCTTCAACATATATATATATATATGACGACCACAACATCATCAAGACTTCTTACATTTCATTTATCGGATACATGTTCTATCGTGCAACAAATCCTGTAGCATATCTACGGACCATAATGCGTATGTCCCCATTGTCGTAAATACAGTATTAAATATTCTATGTTGATCTGCAGATGGAGATTCATTATGGAATTCACTTGACTCACTTCTAGCAGTTGACTACTACTTCTATACGTAGCTGCTGAATCTTATATGTGTTGTTCTTGTCCTAAGTATTATTGTTCATTACCGACCTTTGTTTGATTATTCTATTCAGTAACCTTCCTTAGGTTGCAACAATAATGCAGGAAATTGTTGAAAAACACCAATATACTGCGCCAAAAACTTTAAATTCTAGAGGCCCTCTATATAAAAAAAACAACCAACCAATACTCAACACAATTTATTACGAGTGTAGCAGATGTTGAAGTATTAAACTAACACTTAATGGCATTTCGCATTTCTAGCAACTTCTAGTTAGCTGGCTTATATTGGAACGTTTGTTTTGCAAAAAATACCTTAGCTACAACGGATAGATTAATTTTTTTTTTTTTTAAATATTTTTAACATAGCCCGTTCACAATGAAATTCAGATTTCGTCACGGTTACAATAAGTTTGTCTTTGTATTTCATCTCTGAGAATTATCTTGGAGGAGATCGAAAGTATTTGGGTCGGAAAAAACTACGGCGCTTTCCTTGACGAATTTCATCTTAACATCAATAAACTGATAAGAGAACTGTAAAGGGTCATCAGGAAAAATAAATTATACTGATTAGAAAACTGTATAGGATTATTATATAAATAAGTAGACACAATATCTCTATATTATTCAATTTTATATATATACAAATTTTCCGAAAACAAAAAAGAAGCATCTCGTGGGACGAACGCTGACTCTGAGCGGCGAACACGCAAGCCGGTGACCACGTGACGCGTCAAACCGAGGGTATCGGCAAAAGAGTATCAGTTGCGGTGCAGCTTTCGCTATAAGCCTTGATAAAAAGAAGGTAACCATAGTTTAAATATTTTATAATGATAATGCCATGTCTCATTTGAAAAATATTTTAAAACGTAAATAAAATTCATTGGACATTTTTTTTTATTGAGACAGAGGCCTCGTGAGTTGAATTAGAGAAATGCTGAAAAGAAAATTTAAAGATTTAAAGAAAAAAAAACTGTCATAGATTTTTTTTTTTTTTTATGGAATGATACTTTCTTTAAAAACAATTAACATCTATTAAATATTTCCTCAACATCTCTCACTTACGCCATCAACTCTATAAAATAGGTATATGGTAAAATTAAATTATGTTTTCGTCTGTATTTTATCATTTAAATATTGTGTTTATTGTTTTTGTGTTAAATTTAACGATTTTCATTGGTTTTGTGTAGGAACTTACACAAAAATTTAAATAAGCTATTATTCTGGTGTCTAGGAAGAGATTAATCCATTTACATTGATATTAAAAGAAAAATAGTTTCAGTTTATCTAAAATTTTTATACAAACACACACACACACACAACACACACACACATATACACACACATATATATATATATATATATATATATATATATATTATATTTTGAACAAAAAAAATATTAAAAAATTAAAATCTTCAGACATACTGGGTTGTATATTAATATTCTTTCGTTTTTATTATTATTTCATTTAGATTCCTTGACTAGTTTCGACAAACATGGCCATCATCAGGAGAAAAAAATTCTACTTGCTGGTAGCAGTGAACTACAGAAATGAATGTCTTGATGGAGAAAATGAACTTTGTTTGTAGTTTTCATTCGTTTTTTTTAATTTATTTTATCTTTTTAACATGAATTCTGGTCAGTCCTTGTGTTGGTCAAACAGTCTCTTTTGAGTTGTTATTTAAGATAAGAGCTGGATGGATTCATGCTGCTCTGAATTCCCTTGGTCATTTTGACAGTTTTATTGGTTCCTGGAAAGGGGGGTGTCTCTGTCAAGTGTGTTGAAGATAAAAACCACAAACGTTTTTGGTTGTAATGTAGATTTAAAAAAAAAATATTATTATGCTTTATTTTCCATAATTTTGTAACACGGGTTACGTGTCTTACGACCTTCTTCAGGCAAAGGGTGGATATTTCCAGATATTAAGATGAAATAATTTTACTTCTGTTAAAAATTCTCTTTTTTGTGTGGTATTAACACAAATGTCTTTCTTGGACTGGCAGTGAGAAAGTTCTGCTTAAAAGTGTAACAAAACAAATAAAATTGATCCTAGAAATGTTGAGGAAAAAATATCTGTATTCTTATCTTTCAATGGCCGCTGTGTGTTCTTAGATCCATTTTCATTTTTTATATTGCGTGTGTTTTCGTTAGTATGCGTATATATATATATATATATATATATATATATATATATTCCCTCTATAATATTCCCCCTCTATACATATATACTTTTCCACCATAAGAAAGTAGTATACACATATATACCTTCATACATATATACACACATATGCGTATATATACATACATATATACAAGCATACACATGCACACACTTCCTATGTTGTGTAGGGTCTTTGTGTGTGCTTGTGAGTAGTCTATTTGTTTTTGCCTGTATGTGTATATATATTCGTGCTCCACAGATACCCACGTGTGGGTGTATGCGTATTGTTCTTTTATTTGCTCTCGTCAAAAACGACGCCAACGATATAATTCCGACAAATTATCCTTGTTTAAATATATATATAACCCCCCCCATATATGTGTGAGCTATGACCTCCAACTATTCAAATGTAATGTCAATCGACATCTACAGTTGCCTCAATCTATCCACTATCCTTTCTTCATCCTTTCCTCTATCACTTTATCTGCGAAATCCAAATCTTTTTGTAACCCCTTGCGTCCTAGTATAAATATTGCTTGGGGTGAAAAACTTGAATATATAATATATAAATATATATATATATATATATATATATATATATATATGTTATTATAAATTAATTGATTTAAAATATGTTTTTCAACTAAACAGTTCTAACTATGTTTCAGTTTTTTTGAAACATCTCTTTTTAGAACTGCTGATTGGTTTTATATTTTAATGAAAATTAATTTATATTATTAATATCTTTTAAATTTACATTGTAGCACTATTTTGTAAAAATAAAAATACCTATAAGAAACGGATTATATATCTTACTGTTCTTTCTTTATATATATATATATATATATATATATATATATATATATATATATATATATATATATTGTGAAAAGTTTATTTATATTAATATATAAAATATATCAAAATAATTATCGGACTAAGATTTGTATTTTAAAAACTGTAAAATCGACGTTGCTAACCGAAACGCTCCTCTGTGGCCAAATAGGTAAAAGCACGTCAGGCTATATAACGGTTCCATATAGGATACAGGTTCGATTCCTGCCGGAGGACGCATATTTCCTATGTCAATTTCTCGAACATTCAGGCCGGTAAATGTTGTTAATACTGTTTATTATAAACAGAGCATTTACTTAAATATTTGTATCTATAAAAAATAATGTATAAACATAAAATGTCTTTATATATGTATCGTTGTTCCAACGGGCGAAAACTTTATATTTTAAAGAGAGAAGCCGACACAAACGTTTTTGATAATAATCTGTATTTTTTACATACTTTATTCGATATATTTTTGCTACACTTGTTTCGGGTTTTGTGACCTTCATAAGGTGAAGAATGATTATTTCCTCATATGACTTAAAGAAATTAATTTAACTATTTTAACCATTGTCTTTTGTATCTAGTATTAGTCATCTGAACTAGTTTGTACTGGATATATATATATATATATATATATATATATATATATATATATATATATATATATATATGTTTCTTATTACTTAACTTTATAATACAACTAACAGAATTACCCGCACCTTGTTGCGTATCACACTTTTTTTTTGTAAGAAAAGGATGATTGATTAAATCAATTCTATAATTTGTGGAGATAAATGATGCATTTCAATATTACCCAGTGATCTTGTTGATGTGACCTCCATCTTCTGGCTTTCTCCTATATGTTTCATAGAAGTTATTCTCTTGTTCAAATTTATATTTAATTTAAATCAAAGGGAGAAAAAATTTCAGTGGAAGGTTTGTCTAAAAACACCTTGATCTGACGCATTTGATATGTATTTGATGCAATACTTATTGAATGAATTGATGAGCAGATTTCAACATTGATATGACAGTATCTGTGCATGCGTGTGTGTGTCTGTGTGTGCCTGCTTTCTTGTGTGTGTATGCATGCATGCGTTCATGAGTGTGTGCGAGTGTGTGTGCATGCGTGTATGTGTGCGTGCGTGTGTGTGAGTTTTATATGACAAGAATAACACACATTTTCTCACAAAATACAGGAAAATTAAAAACAATGTTTGTCGAATATTTTGATCCTGATAATGTACCGTAAGATCACAATTAATCCTATTTTATCCCCAGCCGAGAGTAAATATGAAAGACAAATCCATAATGTCACCAGGCAGGATGTTTTTTTTTTTTTTTTTTTTTTTTTTCATCTGAACACAAATCCATTTCATGTTTGCGATGCCGAAACCTTATAACCTGCGAAAAATTCTCCTCTTTCTCGCCGGCTTTTCACATTCTGCAAATCACGTTTCAGCTTTGAACCAACAGGGGGCGCCAACCTGACTAGAAACATTTAAGCGAAACCGAGGCTAATCCCTGGACATGCGTAATACCGGTTTGATCGTAAAAGCAAATGTGGTCCATTCTGTTAAGGTGTTCGTCGTTTCAAGCGAAGAGAGAGGATAGAGAAAGAGAGAAAAAGAGAGAGAGAAAGAGAGAGAGAGAGAAAGAAAGAGAAAGGGAGGGAGAAAGAGAGAAAGAGAGAGAGAAACAACTGAAAGAGAGAGAGAAAAAAAAAGAGATATAGAAAGAGGGAGAGAGGGAAACAGAAAAAGAAAAGAAAGAAAGAAAGAAAGAAAGAAGGAGAAAGAGAGAAAAATTGAAAGAGAGAAAGAGAGAGAAAAAGTGATATAGAAAGAGGGAAAGAGAGGGAAAGAGAAGGAAAGAGAGAAAGAGAGAGAGAAAAAGAGAGAGAGAGAAAGAGAGAGTATTACTCGCAGCTAATACATAAACTTTGGACATGAACTAACTTATCTACATATTTGCAAGCTTTTATCTTCGTCGGATTAATAATGAACATCGATATTAATTAATTTTTCAAATATGCCCCACGTCCTACTAGCACGTGGATGATCATGGCCCTCCACAACTTCCCGTCCTTTGTGGCTCTTAACACTGCGTTTGTAACATGGGGTGTCTTTTTACCCCAAGATTTTTAGACGTCTCGTTATTCTGAGAGAACTTTTTTTCTTGTCTTCCGTCCGACTACTCTCCTGATTTAGTGTAAGTCAGTAGCACGCGTTGTGGCAGTGTTGTAGTTCAGCTGGCGTGGAAGGCAGACGTCGTGTTGTCTTCTTCGGGGTGTCCTGTCACCCTAATTGACTAACGAAGGTAAGTTTTGCTGATATATATATATATATATAGTCATCCACAGAAGACTGTTTCGCTGTATCACAGCTCATCAGTGTGGCTAGACATCCGGTTGCCTTTAGCTAGGATCGTTAGTCTGGGATTCTACCACTAAGCTGTTGGCGCACGGCAGGGATGAAGGCAAATTTTAGTGTATTTATTTTTTAGATAAACACACAATATATCTATATCTATATCTCTCTCTATATATATATCTATATATATATATATATATATATATATATATATATATATATATATATATATCCCTTTCCAATCTCTATTCTCCTTTCTTTCCTTAAAATCTTAATTCCACTTCTTATTTCATACATCTTTACTTCTCTTTTTTTCCTCTCTTTATCGTTTCCTGTGAGATGACCTATTAAATAGGCCAATGTCTGGTTCTAACCCACTCTTCCTCACTATTAAGTGTTGTAATAAAAATAAATTTAAAAGCATTACTATCTCTCC